AAAAAGAAACTAATTCGATTTCTTGGCTAGGACGCCATCAGTAATAATTAAAAAGCCATTTGGTTTGGTAATCAGATTGCAGTTACATATTTGGTAGCAATTAAACATGATCTGCTAAGTAGGATTAGGCCCACATAGATCATCACGATTAGTTCCATCACGGCCCCCTAGCTGTGCGTACAATAACATATACTTAAGCTGTTTATCGATGTATGACTTATGTTTTGTTTAATAACACTAATGTCATCTTATTTTGAATCAATCCGTGTGATTTGTCTGCGCTGGATTATAATATGGAGTAGGTCATTTTGCTAGTTGACAAGTTTAAACATTGAACCATTTATTGAAACAGTTCTCCGTCACGGTAGAAGTTAAACTAAAAGCCAATAACTCGTTAATTTCGGCGTTTTAACTAACCAGCCGTTGTGGAACATTCTCCTAAATTAACTACGTATTGTTTAATTATGTTTGTCACTGGCAAATCTAAGCTTGAATTCGATAATCACATTGACAACCAAGACTAATGTATTCCTTTATCCTAGGTTTTACATGAATTCGAAACGGGCCTGGTCGAACTGGTTGCATCTGTGAGTGTTTTTATTCGAAGCACGTATTGCAATGAACTAACTGCTTCGATGAAAACATAATTATGTCGTTTTATTTAGGGAAATATATCTTGCTTTTCTAGCACGTTGTTGTTACTATCAAAAAGTAATTACAATGTTGACCTTTCACCTGCTGTTATTGTGTGTAAAGAACGAGTGGAATTACGGAGGCAAGCAGGGATAATGTCGACAAGCAATTGGTCGCCACGATTGAAGCTTACATTCGCATTACATGTGTATCAAAGTGATATTAACAATAGATATATAGGCATTGAAGCCTCGATGCCAAGCACGCATTCGTGCAGCATATGGAAGGCGCGCACGGTTTGTTTGGCACGCGTCACCGTTTCCACTGGGGTAGGATTATAATATATCATGTTTCCATGGTGATATATGCGTCAGTAGCCCGATATGAGCGGACACCTTTCGTACAGTAGTAAGTCCAGCTGTATTCTGATAGATTTTTTTTAATTCACTTATAAGACTTACATGGCTTTATATATATGAGGCGAGATAATTCAATTAATAGCTGAGCTAGTACATACACCAATAAGAGTGTTAATGTGTCCCTTAGCCCTGAGTCCCAAGTAAAGGCAACTAAACGGTGACACGCGACTACTCGGCAAGTGTGGTGACATCCGAAAAAAACAAACAAACCAAGTAAGTATTAATTGTTTGGGATTGTTCAACCTAATTAATAGAGACGATGGCCATGACTTTAGGAGCGAAATTTGACGGCTATATATCAAATACTTTCTCATATTATTCTTATAGCAAGGCGTATCGTTTAACGGAAGAGAGAACCAAAGTCTTTTTTGTTCACCCCCCCTATAATTATACAATTGCTTGGAAGTGGGTCAATCATTGTAAGCATTTTGAAGTAGACATGCCCGTTACATTGGTGTCTAATAATAGCACATATATATGTGTTGCCCTGCCCTCATCTGACGGATCCGGCTGGGAAAAGGTTAAATTGTTAACAAATATCGTGATTTGATTTATTGTTTGTTTAAGTCTGTCTTTGTCTTATTGGCACAATTTGCATTATTTAGTGGATAGACCAGGCCTTGAGTGTGTTGAATATCCATATACAGTCATGTCTACGCGATCGTGTTGTTATCAAATATAAACAAAAAAGTAACTTATCCTACCAAGACAGGTTATTGTCTTTTCAGACTTAACTCGTGACCACGCAGCTCCTAACAACTGTATTTTGACGCAGTGTGGGTTAGTATTCAGTCCACACAAGGCGCCCTCGTGTCAGAAAAAAAAAATCCGTTCAACCGCAATTTTCTTGTAAATTAAGCAATGCATACTTGCATTGGTCAATCAACCATAGTTATTGTACCCGTACCCACAGCTCTGAATGCGTCAATTGACGGAGTCATTCTAGCGAGTACGCTCGAGAATGTTGCGAACTCCTGCTAGGTAATCGGTCGATAGTTAGAGAGAAGTGCCTAATTAAGCCAGTTGTGTCGTATCTAGATATATATAAGGTATACAATCATGAAAGAACATTTGTTTTGTGTTTTTGTTACGACTCGGTATGAATGCCTGTAACTAGGAACGCTACTCGAGTCGGGTCTTATTGATACCACCGGGGGCTTACGGAGCACAGCGAGCTGTCCGTCGTTAGGCTAGTTTCGCTTCCTTCGTCAGGATGAAACGCGTTGCATTTTTCGTCTCGTTAGTGGGTAATGATCCCTCGTAGACCATGCCGAGAAATTGTTGTATTTCATCCGAATAAGAATTCTATTATGTAGGCTAGTTAGTCGGGGTCCTGCTGGTCTTGTCCACGTCAGCCTAATGTCTTTGTCTGAGCACTGTGCGCCTCTTGTGTGTCTGCTAAGAAATTGCCAACAATTGACTAACAAATAAAAGTAGCGGGAAACGGAGCGACTTGCAATGAATTGGGCGTAAATTGGAGCAATCACAAAGCTTTATACTGTAACTCAAAAGATATTATTTTGGCTGTGTTCGCTACTTGCAATATTGTATTCAGGTTACGGTTTGAGTGCTGTGCGAGACGAACAACGCAGTCTGCTTAATAAATTGAGACTATATATCTGCCATGTCCCACATGTTTCCCCGTCGAACGCTGTGGAGAGTAAAGTAAACACTTGACAACATTTGATATAGTCGGACGGCATATTGAACGCGGCTAAAACCGTCTCGTTGGACAGATCGTGAAGCACGAACGGAGAAAGCAATCAGTGTTCGACGTTTGCTCATTAGTTTGAAAGTTTAAACTCTGTGTAGCTAGTAAACACAAACGCGAGTCCGATGAGACGCACAGGGCTTGTCAGGTTTCACTGTCATTAAGGAAAGTGGTACTATTGTAGACTAATAAGCAAATGAAATTGACACGATTAAAAAACAAACTAATAACGAAATACAACTAACGCTGATTCGATCTTTGCGTTGAATATGGTGGGATTGGCATGTCTGTATCCAATAACTTGAAGATAGAATTCTTATTTCCTACAACAGAAATATTAATTCGTTTAAAAATTACGGTATAATCCATACTGTAGCCTAATGAGACGATCCCGCGACTTCCGACACAATCGAACCAATTAATTAACTGACTAGTGAACTTGGGGAGAATGGAGGGGTATTGTAATTTCAAGTCACTAATTTGTCTTGACTCTACTGTCGGTCGCTACTCATTCGACCTGCACATTCAGAGCCTGTACCGATGTTTGTTCTCACGAACGAGTATACTATTGCAAATCGGAAAAGGTGTGACACAGATGACGTAACTGAATCTATCCGCTAACAACACGAAACTACTAAAATCAGGTGGTTTATACCCAGTGGATTCATCAAATTCTTACCTGCCCCTTGATGTGTATATTACAGTGATTACTGGAACACGTTGTTTCTCATACATACGTGTATATCAATTTATCATTCACATTCGAGAACATACATACTCGGGTATGCAGAAATAGTATTTCAAAGAACCAAAACAAAACAAAAATTGAAATAACACCTCTTCAACAATCGGTTTTACCAGCTCGATACAGCAATACGGTTTGTATTTATTAAGTACACTCAGTCGATATCTCTTAATCGTGTGCCATGGCTTTCATCTTGACGAGATAATGAAGAATACAGAAACCAACAAAAATACGTCTAAACGGAACTGTACACAATAAGGCACTAATATCATATTTCATATCACATATATCACCAACGGGAAAAATCACGATCATGGAAATCAGTTGAGTGTTAGGTCTGGCAGTCAACTGTCAACGTGTGATACAAGTATGTTCTGATGAACAGACCGTGACGTATTTTTGGTCGACCCCGAAACACT